TATTCATTTATATGAAACAGTAAAAACAAATTGGTGAAAATCTAATTAACTGTACTTTCTCTGAGCAGTTTACATAGAACATCTTATAAATTTAGGGGGATTTGGCAGTTACCTTTCTTTGGAAAGAAGTTTTTCAGGGTGGTTTGGAAAGTTTATACCTTAGAGCAGGACACGGGAGAGTTATCTTGAAAATGAAAAATGGAGTCAATATAGAACTTTTCAGCAAAGAATTGAACTTATTTGTAATGTCACCTAAATGCACCAATTAAAATGGCATTCGTCATCAGAGATACAGAGACGACGAGGACAGAAGAGCAGAAACAAGTAAAAGTCAAACATTTATCAAAACTTCTTTAATCTTGCTGTTAATTTTCATTCATATAAACATGTGCTGGCCTGTTTAGGGTTAACCCAGTCAATCAGTTTGCCTGAATTCAGTTAAAACAGTTCATACAAGCGTCCCATTCCACTTGTTTAATTTGAGTTCAGCTGCAGAAATTTGGACAAGGATACTGATCAAAGTACTTTGGGGTCAAGATGGTGTAGGGAAGTGGACTTGGGACCAAAAAGTTGCAGGATCAACTCCCTGCCACGCCCACATGCATCCCCGAGTAAGACACCTGATCCCCGGTGACCACACAGCCGCCCGCCGTTCCACCTGGGCACTCACCCCATGCACCATGGGCCAAAAGCAGAGAAGTAATTTCATCATTGTATAGAAACATACAATGATAACGCAGCACTTTGTTCTTATTGTGAAATAAAATTGTACTTATGTCATTTGAGTCATAAGTTGCAGACCCTGCAGTAGATGAAGTGTCCACCTGTTGATGCTCAAAGCTTCACAATGCTTCAGTTTTGACAAATTACCCATCACAAGTTAAACATCAAAGATCAAATTTATTTAATGCTAAATCTGTTTCTCATTACAGCTCAACTTTTAAATGAAAAGGGCTCGAGTTTCTTCAAACACCTAAATGGTCCAGCAGAGGACCCGTTTGAGACATGATCCTTTATTATTCGAGTCTGGATCATTTTAAACGGCAGGAAGTTCATCATCAGACTCTGAAGATCAGAAACTGGTGAACTAGGAGTCCACTGATGACATCAGACGGACCACAAGCTTACAAGAACTGCGCTGAGCCACAAATATCAGAATATCACTGAAGTTAATTTAGCTCAGTATTCAGTTTTAAAACATGAAACTGGTTCATTCCATGTGGAGAGTTAAAGCAGTGGTTTCATGCACGTTGGGCTGATTGGTGACTCTAGGTGAGGGAGTGAATGGTTTGTCTCCTCTGTGATGGACTGGAGACCTGTCCAGGTGTCCTGTCTCACACGGCGATAGCTGAACATGGAACCAGTGACCACTGCGACCCAAACAGGAAGAAGCAGGTAAAGCGAATGGATGGATAGTTTCTAATTTTATAGTTGGTATAGATATATTTTACAGCTAAAATCCCAAAATGCAGCTTCTCAGAATTAGAATGTTAAATAAGACCAATAAATTTAAAGAAAAAAGTTTTGATTCAAACATGTCCTACTGAGAGTACGTCCATGTTACAAAACCATGTCTTGGGTCTGCTCATGTATCACTGGATGGAGAGTTTGGACCTGCTCGGTTCTGGAAGCCCACATTACCAGATGGGGACATTCGCCTGCATCGTTGGGTCTGGCGTCTCAGATTTTCTGTGAACTTGGTACCATAGGGTCATTTACGCAGGCGTTGGTACTTTTGGCACAAAGTCCTGCTGGAAAATTAGGAATTATGAAATTATATTAAATTATGATTATTATGACAATTAAATCAGCATCACTATCATGCTTGGCAGCAGAGGCAGACATGACGTTCTCCAAAATGTCCTGCTAGATGCA